AAGGAAATTAACTCTATCCCTGCCGAAACCAGGACATAGCTATATTTACCATATTATATCCTCTAACCTGAACCTAAGCCATGTAACAACCTAAACAAAATGCTGAATTTATATCAGAAAAATTATTAAGACAATAATCAGTGATTAAATTTCTCATTTTTTCACCTAACAAAATAAGAAAATTACTACAAAAATCACATTGGTGAACTTTCTTTTGTAAAAAATCTCATTATTTTGTCCTTGTCCATGGAAATTTTTAGAATTGTATATAATTTCATGAAAAGAAGAGGGATTTGTGTGCTAATTATAAAGAATTCTGTCTTGTTACTGAATAAGAAGCACTTTTTTTTTTTTTTTTAAAGCATTGAATAGCCTTAGAATTGCTTCTTAGAGGACTAGCAGAGACAAGAATTTTGCAAAGGTTTCGTGCTTGGCCTCTGGAAACAAAAAAAAAGAGTTTGGACAGATGCTTGCTACAAAGGCACAGTTTCAAGAAATAGTATATAATTTACTGCATTCTTGGAAGATAGCACCAGAGTCTTCCTGGTTTGCAGACCTTCCCTTGATTGTAACCTATATCAAAACTTTTGGAAGACTAGAGGTATATTGAGATAACTGAAATTTTAAGGAAGCTATTCAAGGCTGAAGGTTGTATCATGCCACTGATTTTAAAGCAGAAAATCCCATTTGTTTCACAAAGGACTTAGGTTTAAAAATCAAGGGTGTAATAGAGGCTTCAGCATGCCATTTTATACTGATTTTTAATGGAAGAAGGTGAACATGAATCCACAATTATTTACTCAAATTGTTCGGCGAGGTATATTCACATTATTTTTGCATTTGCTTTCTGAGGATACTGAAGGGATCCAGTTTTCTGAACATGAATGTCTGTGGGAAAGGAATTCCAGAATTGTGTGTATGGCTGTTCACGGAAACTAAATTTAAGCATTTGTTCCTGAACGTCCATGCAAGAAGACTCTACGCATTACTTGCTTTCAAAAAATAGAAATAATATAATGTGCTATCTCTCAATGGTAAAAAAAATATGCTATTGGAATGTATGGTATTAATAAATCACATCTGACAATTTGATCATAGTGGTATGTACTATACACAGTAAGGAGGTCTAGGGCATCAAAGAGCTTAGCACACCTGTAGGTCAAAAGCAAGGAGCAGATCTGTGCAGTAAATGATGAAACCAAAGTTCCCATCCCACCCTTCAGGTTAAAATTTGGTAAGCAAAGTGCTTCTCTTTAACAGGGAACTTCTCTCAAATACTAGATGATTCTCCTCTGCTCAAGATAAGAAATTAGGGGGTTGGTTTGTTTTTTTTTTTTAATCGGAATTCACTTACTGGCAGAGTTCCTTAAATTATTACCTAGCCTTCATTCTAGAGTGGTAAGTATAAATATCAAAGATAAATCCTTTGCTATTATATAAAAAGAGTTGTCTGTGTTCTTTTAGCATCCTGAGGGCAGTGTTGTTTCTAAAATGTTGAAGGGCAGTAGTTCTCATAAAGTTGTAAATGATGCTAAGCGATCAAAGAGTTTCCCTCTGACAGGCATTATGTGACTGCAGCATTGTAGGTGTCTTTATTTTCTATTCATTGCACATTTTCACAGCTGCTTTACTCCATGAACTTTTAAATATTTATTTTGGTGTGGTACTTTTTTCTTTGCTTTAGAAGAGCAGATGATAATGAGCTTCAGCAAAATAAAAGTCTCATTAATACTTATGTCTATATTCATGTTTGTTTGTTGTCTTGAATACAGGTGAATCTGGTGTTGAAGAGTGGGCCCAGTGGAGTACGTGTTCAGTTACTTGTGGTCAAGGGTCGCAGGTGCGAACCAGAACTTGTGTATCACCTTACGGGACACACTGCAGCGGCCCTTTAAGAGAATCAAGGGTTTGCAATAACACTGCCCTCTGTCCAGGTAGTGTTAGCAGCCAATAAATAAAATTGTGGATGTTTTGAACTGTATAATGATAAGAATTTGAAACTATATCTTTTTTTATTATTATTATTTTTAACATGAATTTCATAAGGGCATTTCAATTAGAGCAGAGAAATGTAATTCTATTCAGCTGTGAAATTTTGTCATGTAGATTGTTATTTTTACTTTCAGAACAGTCAAGATATGGAACAAGAGTCCATTTTTTTCTGACAGTTTCAGATTTTTTAAAAAAGTCTATATTTTCTAGTTTTCACTCAGAAAAGAGAAGGTATAGCGTGAGTACAAAATACAAACTAGGGAAGAAATCCAGATCATCGATACATTAAGAAGCAGAGACTGATTAACAGGGTGGGTTAAGTTAAGATATATTATTCGACACTGCAATTGTCTCACCATTTAGAGCACTTTCTGCTAGTCAATGGGCCAGACAATGTTCTCTGCACAGTAATGTCTTCATGGACTTTCCTTTACATTGTTCTGGCAAGAAAGGGCAACAGCTACCCATCAAAGGAAGAAAGATCAGACAAAAAGTAACTCTCTTGCATCTGACACAAGGTAAAGGTCATCAGTATCTTGCATCACAGTTTTCCTACTCCTTTTGTCTCAGAGATCTGGCGGTAGTTGGAGTTCAGCAGTAGTTATACACTAAGGAGAAGAGTCAGACATGTTCAAGTTAGCTGCTGAAAGGGCACATCTCATTTCTTTGGACTCTACCTGTGGATCTGATTAATCTGGGATGGGAAGCAAATGGGAAGGCATATGCCCTGCGACTACATTCATTTTCCTCTGCTGTGTCTGAAATGGAAAAAAATTATATGCCTGCCTTCAGATGCACAAATTCCTCAGCTCTTTGTAACATTTGATCCCAAAAGGGTGGTGAGCCATCTTCAGCTTCTGGGGAAGCTCACTCCATTTTTGAAGTAAAATAGACTGTCATACACAGAGAATGCCCTGGACTTTATCTCAATGAGTAGTAATATGTAGAATCAGACTCTCATGCTGTTACTGTGTGTTGAAAAGTATCCAACACAAAGTGCATACATGATCCCATCAGAGTTTGTGAATCAGCATTATAAGCATTTAGGGAACATCTGTAATGGAAAGTAACTAAAAAGATTGTATCTAGATAAACCATCACTGTAATAAGAACTGCTGTCAGCACCTAACGCTTTACTACTGTGCTTTAGGTAAGAAATTCACATGAGATTTTCTAATATTTCAGTGTAGAAACCTCCAGGCAGGGCTGAATTCAATCACTTGAATTCAACACACTTGAAGTGTTTCCATACAAAAATGGCAGCTATTTCTAAAAAGGTTAGGCTAGCTTACATTCTGCCAGAGGGGGGATACATTGCAAAAGAATTCTCAACTTGAAGGTATAAAAATAAGAAGTGAAAAAAGAGAACTACAAAAGAAAAGAACAAACCTTCCAAACAATCAAAGATAAAGATTCCTTTGAAACTGTATGAAGTATGAACATGAAAACACACAGTCCAGCACTCACAATGAGATGCAGTTCTGCCTGCTTTTTTGCTCATTTTGTATTACCTAAGAAGAGGCAAGGTGTTTAAGTCACCTAATTTTACAGAATTTTAACTTCATTCTCTCCAGTAAGGAATGAGAACTTTTCATATCAAAACAAAAAAAATCCATGTAATGCAAAAGCCAAGGTAATTAATTTGCTGTCAAAGTAAAGTGGAAAAAAGTTAATTCTTAAAAATCACATTGTCTAGCAAACTTCTGAACAATGCTCACACAAAAAGACTGCTCCATATTTCTCAGGTCACAAAGGAGGTCTTACCTTACACATGAACTCCCACTTCAGGGTATGGCTTTTGTTTCCAGATACCCAGTATGAGCAGCGGCTACCAATTCTCACTGGCTAACAGTGATATTGCCAACATATTTTCCTTTTCAGATCACCACATCTGATTCTGATAATCTTTATGTATCTTGAGTTACCTTTCCTAAATAATTAGTCTTCTGGGCTTAATCTTGCATGTTGTTTCACATAATTACAGTAACCTTATTAATTTATGTTGGTCTCTGTCTGGTTACAGGGTCACTACTGTGTGGCAGTGTGCAAAATTAGCAATTTAGAAATGTGTTTTTCCTAGTCACAGCTCCAATAATTTTTCAAACATCCCTTTAATTATTAGCCTAAATATCCTCTGTCCTCATTATACTATGTATCCTGACTCAGAGAGTTGCATAGTTCAGGATTATCCCTGCCCCATGCATAACAAAATGCATAGTTTGTACACTAGTAGAATTAAAACACAAGTTTGACAAAACAATCCAAACATATGCATACATAGCTGGGATCTGGCCTGTATACCCAGACCTGTACCACTCATTCCATACAGCTTCTGGACTCTGGTAACACTGCAAGTTTTTACATCTAGCGTAAACTAGAAGCAATAAACATACAAAAATAACAGTGGTCTCTCCTTGTAACCTACAAATACAAAATCTACTGGGGCATATTCATTATATGTTTGCATAATTAGTAAAAGCAGGGAGGGGCATTTTGAGAGCTGGAATAAGGTTTCCTAATCAAAAAGTTGTCCCTTCAAAATAAAAAAGTATACAGAATGGCCTACTGGGCTATACTTCAAGCATCTATCCACAAGCTTCAAGAGAACCTGTTAAACTTGAAAATACTAATGCAAGGCTTCCAGAGTATTTTCACCTATTGCCTTCATATACTCCCTTTAGTGTCCAAGATACTCACTGGGATGTTAGGGAATACATCTCTCTGTGATCTCACTGTCCTGGAAAATATTAGTATTAGTATTGAAATAAAACCTTAAATTTCAAAATAGTACTCCTGATAATTCAAGTAAAATCATGAAGGCATCATTATTTACATGTTTTTTTGTTTATTCATATTTGTTCTGGACAAATACTATTTCAGGGGCAGGAGTCCATTAGGTAATTCAGTCTGTCTTGGAATCAAGACACTTCTAGAAAAGTGCAGCATAGTAGGCAACAAAACATAGCTCAGGTAACCATTGTTGTTACTGGTTCTTTAGTGAGCAAGGACATCGCATTCATTTCAGCTTAATGGATCATTTCTAACACAGCTAAAACTTCAAGGAGAAAGAACATGGACTTTCCATGCCCGTAGGTCATCTGAATTAGTTTCTATTTCTCCTTCTCCATTGCCTTCAAGAAGCTCAGCATTTTCAGGCTTATGGCTAAAGCAGACATGGCAGGAGCAGGAATATGCTAAACCATTTCAAACATTTGTATGCTCAAAAGCTATATTTTGGCTGGTGTGATATGCTAAGATTGCTTTACTTATCTCCCTTTTTTTCTCAGGCCTCATTTCAATGAAGTTTAGCCATATTGCTGAAATGTTGTACAGTTTGATATATTCTGTGCCTGCATGGTACACTAACAAAATCATTACAGAGAAATTAGCCCTATCTTTTTAAATCTTGTAGCTTTATTGTTAGTAATCTATGCTCTGGAAGTTCAGGCCCTGTGAACTTGAGAGGAAGAAAATAAGAGTAAGGAAAACTTAGGTTTATAATTAGAAAGAGACATGGCAGAAGTAGAGTAGCTGTATGGCTTAAACGTGGAGGTTAGAGGGCAGGTGTCAGAAAGTTTCTGAATTTACATATTATGAATTTAAGAAAGATTTTTGACTGGACAATTAAAGCTAAAGGAAACTATAGCACTTAAGTGAGTTTAAATTTGTGCATACAAACCCTCTAATTTAATTTTAAAAATTCCTTTAATGTAGCATCTGCTTGGATGCAGTTATTCAGCCATATTAAACTATGATACCACTTAAAATGAAACATCAATGGCCATAATAGATTCCCAATAGCTGTTCAGTTTAAAGCTGAACAAATAAAAAGCATTTAAACCCCAATAAAAATCTCCCAAAATATGCTTGTAGGATGAAGGCCAGCATGGCCTCACGCCTCTTCCCACTTACAGCAGTTGCATATTGTGAACACTGTGGGTGTTTACTTCAACATGATTAGGTTCACAGAGTGGCAGAGAGAAGGGAAAGATGCTCTGCAGTAATCCAAACTCATTGTGCTAGCAACGTTTTTGACAGATATGTTGGCAATAATCTGAATATTTTTGTCCCAAATAATGAATCTTGCATCTGAAACTGTGTTATAGAAAACAGTAACTCCTCTGTGGGCCAGCTCTCCATCTGGTGTAATTTGGCATAGCTCATCTGGCTATAATTCATCATATGTTATAGTGGGTTTTGTATTTAGAAAATGGTATTAAAGAAAGGAAATGTAAATGAAACATCAGAAAAAAATATTCAAAGGTAAGAAATTTTAAATTAAGATGTTCTTTTAAAGCTGATCTGGATAATACTGGACACTTCTGTGATGCACTGAACAGATTAATTCTCCTTGATATGTGTTTGCTGACATTGGTTGTTTTCTTAGTGTTACGCCTTTTCCATCCTTGACTTTATTAGTTATCTATTAGTTTCAGATATACAAGTCTACACACAAGAAGGTACTGTGAAATTTTTACTTAATGAGCTAAAATTTGTCACGGAAGATGATTTTGGACACAGCTTACTTTAAACCACAAACAGACAGAGGCTGCTGTAAGTTTGAGTCCACCCAAAGTGAAACATTTTTTTTTGGCTTATGTTCAGATCCAAAATCACAAAAGAATTATTCTGTGTTGCTGCTAACATGCAACCGCTCTTGCCAGAAGAGATATACAACCTTTTGGCTCAAGACAGTATCTTTAAAGAGCCCCTCAGCACATGCTTTTGTCATTTTTAAATGAAGACAACTAACATACTATTTTGACACCATCAAATCAAAACTCCAAATTAAACATTAGACTTAAACTCATATGTACCCTAAAAAACCTCAGCCTGTGACGATTACAGTTTAATCTTTTTCTAGTTTGGATTAATTTTGATTTGCTATGTTTTCTACTTTTTGAAGTTCTTGTTGTTGCATCTGAGTATCTTGCTCAACCATTGTGGAATCAGGAGATGAAATTATATCATTGTTATTACTGACTACTGTTTGGAATCTGATCTGACAAATGGGTTTCTCATTAGTTTTTCTCATATGATAAAAATTTGGAGTCTTAGAGATACATCTGGATTCAGAATCTAATACATTGCCAATGAGAAAAAAGTCTTCAGATCATAAGGCTGCATCAGAGTAGCTGTCTAAGTATAGTACTTGTTGAGAAAAGATGAAACATAAAGGATTATATGCAGACGTAGTCATCAGTTTATTAGTTTTAGAAGAGTTAGGTTTCCTGCTTTTGACCAAAATGTCACAGTTAATCAAGGTGTCTAAAATAACAAAACTTAAATCTGTCACTGTAACATTAATTTGGAATATTCCTGAGGAGGGTTTTTTTGCTAATATAATGCAGACTGATGTGATATTTAGAATAAGATAATTTTAATAAAGCTAGCCATGTAGGATGTGGAATAATTATTGTGCTTTTTGATCACTTGCATGTGACCAACTAAAAACCTTTCATCAACTGAGCTGTTATCTAGTGGGTTAAAATTTTCCCTGAATGAAGTTTGACATGTTCTGTCAGGTACGATTTCTCAGAAGTTAGCTAACAAACCTTTTACCTCAACATAGGATCTGAAATGACAATTTTCCTTACTTTTAATGAAATGCAATAGCACTTACCTACATGCAGAATTCCCCTTTCTTACTGATGATTTTGTGATAATATGCCAGGGAGCTGAACCTCCTTCCGCACCGTAAACAACTGAATTGCACCTCGGGAAATGTTACTCTGATCCCTACAAGAAAAGGGTTTTATTTGTAGAAACTGGGCAGGTCATACATGCCTTCAGGGCAAAGGAAACCTATACATGAGAAGTTCTTTCACAGTGATGAAAAAAAGTGAGGACAAACCAGAAAATCTATTTCTTCTATAGTGTTGTGAACCATTACAAATGATATACTGAGATGTACACTATTTCACTCTCCAGACACCCTTCACACAGACAGAGTTGCAGAAACACAGAGGTATATGATACCGAGTGTGATTCTCAGTCTGGGTACTAAGTCTCTGGATTTTTCTTAAAAGCCCAGCATTACTACTATTCTAATTGCTACATTCCTGTTCTCACACAGCCTAATTTAAACCTGTGCAACTGCTTTTATTTAAGCATAAGAAAAATAACTAAAGTTTGTTTTGCAGTATTTTTCAATTTATAAGGAACTGTTTTTCCAGTGCATGTATGGAATTGTCTTACCAGTACATGCTTAACTGTAATATATTAGAGAACTTTCTGAAAATTTAACTCCAATTGTTTCTGAAAAGGGAATGCATATGGTATATAAACTCATATGGATATTGTATATTAGTTACTTCTGCAGTGGAAAAAATTTAAGGAAGAGAAAGATGCATCTTCTATGATTCTTTATATTAATTTTATGAAATACTTGTATATAAAAATATTGGTATGTCTTTGTAATTTATTGTGTACTCTGAAGGTGTTTCAAGTATGCTGAGTGAACATTTTTTTAAGATAGAGTGATGCATGTATTACCGTGTATATTATATCAATTAATATGTTCATGTAAGGAAATAGCGCAAATCTCTTTTGCTTATGTGGTCTTGGAATTTTTGAGGAAGATAATCAAGCACATGTGCTGCCATGTTTCCACCAGAATTTAAACAAGTGAAAGAACTGTAAGATAACAGCCCCAATTTATGATAGTGACACAGTAAGAAATTATTCCTATATTTTCAAAAGAAAGCTTAATTTTGATTGCGTCAAGTTTTTAGGGTTGCCTTGAGACATAAAGTATATGCCTGATTTTCACAAAGACTAGTCTCCTGAAAATCAGGGCTATTAAATATATCTCAAGTCAGGCACCAAAGATATCATAACGAACTTTTGAAACAGGAAGCCATCTTTCTTAAAAGAATGAAAGAAAAGAAAATGTGGTAGCGAGATTAGTTTAACGATTAGAGAAAATCCTTCAAAGTTAAATATATTTTAGAGAAAATATACTTTTTAAATTGAAATTAACTAAATTTTATAAAGGATTTACTTTCCAATGCTAAAGATTACCTATGTACTGATTTCCTTGAAGCTGACAAAATAATTCCCATTTAAAACATTGATCTTGTTTATTTTGAAATCCTTCTATTACTTGCGTGTCTGTTTCTGGTTAAAATCTGTTTGGTTTGTTGCAGTACATGGCGTTTGGGAGGAATGGTCACCTTGGAGTTTGTGTTCATTCACATGTGGTCGAGGCCAAAGAACTAGGACAAGGTCATGTATACCTCCCCAGTATGGGGGAAGATCATGTGATGGACCTGAAACACAACATAAACCTTGCAATATTGCACTCTGCCCTGGTGAGCTCATATAGCAACTCTCTGCTTTGTTACAGTGCATTCAATGTGGGTTGTTTGTGATTTCTTTTATTGCCCTTTGCACACAGAAAAAAGAATGTTATGCAAAGTGAGTAGGCGGGGTAATATTGTTCATAATTCTGACCGTAGTGATTAAAGGATATAATCTGGATGGAACTCTGTTTGAGATACTACACAAGCAGACAATTCTTAGTTTCTTCCAAGATAATCTTGAAAGATGTAGGGCACGGTATGTTGTGTAGGAAATCTTGATTCAAGATGGGTCTTGGAGAACTAAAAGGCAAACAACTTTCTGAGTGTGGCTTAAAGGGAGACATTCAGAGGTCACACAGTTTGTGTCCACCATATCTGTTTCAATTATGTTTGCTTAGAGGTTCACTGTAATTATTTATTTCATACAACAAACTTATTTGGGAAACTGTAAAATTTTAATTGTTATTAATTTATTCAAAATGGATATTATTTACATGTGTGCAGAGAGAAAGGCTGACACAAGCTAGGGCATTATTTGAATCCCAGTTAAACCCTTATGGTCAGAACTTTAAGTGCCTCATTTCTGGGAGTTAGTTGCTAAACCACTTTCAAAGAACTAACCCTAACCAAGTAAACAATGCGTGGGTTTCATGTTAAACCTTCCATCCACTGAAATTGAAACTAACTCAGAAAAATAATCTATTCTTTCAAAATTGATTTTAAAATTTTTGTCAATAGGTTATGATTTTGACCAACAATTTCAATATGTGTATATATATGTATATATATACACACACATATATGCATGTGTGTGTATATATACGTATATAATACCTAAGTATTACAATAAGTTCAATAACCATAAAGAAGATTACATAACTATAATAATAATATATGGTTATTAAACTCATTGTAATACTTAGGTATGAAAAAGCTGTCAGGTAGCTGTAATGTGAGAAATTTCTTTCATGAGTTCTGTCTCACAGTGTGAAGGTTGCCCTTGCAGTGGGCTTGTTGAATATCCACAGTTCACAACGCTGCTGCAATTAGATTCTCCGTGACTGGAGCTCTTCCTGAAAGGTGTTGATGGACATTTCATTAGCAAATGGTTGTTTGACCATTTGAAAACAGAGATGAAGGAAAAAATGGAACTTAGTGCCTCACAGAATTAAAACTAAATTTCTTAGATTTTTATTAAACTGGAACTTTCCTTTTCTTCTGGTCAGCAAAGCACACTCCAACTTTAGGACAAAATTTGTAGAAAAGTTTTAGTCTTGAATACAGCTGCAAAAATTTTGAATTAATCCAGTTTTTGGCCAAGTTGGCAGCTGTGTAATTTTACATGCGGCTACACAAAAGTAATTAACATGATATATGAGCATGAAGCAGAGTTGACAAGAGAAAAGCCAAATAAAAATAGCAGAGAAGAAATTAATGCCTTCAGTTCACTTCAGTACTGCAATGAAACACAAAAGATATTACACCTAATCTGTCAAAATAAGCAGTTATTTGAGAATTCTAGATTTTGAACAGTCATTTGTACCTAAATGACTTTCACCAGAGGAAGTTATATACTGGTTGCATTTAAAAGTAACCGTTTAAATCTTTGCTGAATGTTAAGATTTGCTGTAATTTGAATGTTCAATTTTGTAAGGGAATCTTCATGTTGAATTCTTCAGTCTTTTAATGGTATTTCTGAAATAGAAAAATCACATGCTATTTGCTCCTAAAGGTAAAGAAAGGAGATGTATGAAATATATATGAGAAGCCATGAAATGAGTTTTCTCCAAAGACACTATAATAATTGATTCGATCTTTCCTACTCTAAATAATAGTATACAGCAATGAATAAAACTGAAGAGGGTGCATTGAAATGTAATTTCCATAACGTTTTCTTCTTCACATAAAGCTTTTATGATTAATGAGTGCAACTAGCTTCCATGTTTGGAAAGATTTCCATTTTCTGCTGAATAAATTATCAAGGCGCAGCTTCATAGCTTGAGAGGCATCTGCATTGAGAAGTGGTTCACAACCAGGCATTACATAGAATATTTAATATAGAACTTTACAAAAAAGCTTCAGAAACTCTCTTCCTTTAATTCACTGGTTGCTGAGATCCTGGGCATTAGAGATATGGATAGTATCTTTGAACTGTTAGAAATGTTCTGTGGTTACTGTCAGACAACAGTAAAATAGTTCACCTCCGTATTTCACTGAACAGTGGTGCACCCATACACAGTATGGTAAATCAGAAACTTAAAGATTCTGCTTCCTATTTTAATTATTAACACCATCAACTTAGGAAGCTGCTATTCCAGCCTTCCTGTAGAAAATCCTGAAATCAGGGGTTGAGAAGTGCGCCAAGTGAAGTTACTCATGTAGCACTAGGTGGTGCTTTTATGGCAATAGTAGTTACAAAACTGGGCTCTCAAGGATAAGTATTAATCAAAATTGTATTACAACCTACATTTTGAGTCTATATTGGGTAACTGCAGGTGCAATAAGGAACTGACAATTGCTAAAGTCTGTATGAATGCAGGATTCTGAATTAGCACAATCAGTAATAACACATTTCATAATGTTTACCTGTTTTCAAAAATACTGTCTAGTTCTATTATCTATTATAGACCTTATAATTTTTCACTTGTATGGGAACTTAATTGGTTTATATATATATTTTTTTTTTTTTAATATATACACACACATCTCCCCATGAAATTGCTTCAGCAAAGCTTCTTTTTGATTTATAAGCAGCTTAGTCTTCCATCAAACCTCTGTTCAGAAAGTAAATTCTAAAAACGACACTTCAGGGTTCTGTCTGTATTGTGTCAATATAAATCCAGACCGAGTTTGCCAAGTTTAAGACTTTTTTAATTAAACTCTAAGCTATGCATACTCCCCCAGGTGACCTGAAAGTCAGCCTGGGTTCTTTTCTGTTCTCGCCCGAGAAGTGGAAGGACTGCAAGGAGAACTTGATCTGCCCGGTTATACCTGTACCAGCTCCCTCCTCTTCCAAGTTTGTTCTGGGTTACGAACGTCGACGCTGTTCAGCGCTACGGGCAGGCGTACGAAAGGCAAATCTTAGCCCTGTAGCTGGTGCAAGAGCCAGAGCAAATCTCAACTCCAGCTCCTGCTCCAGCACTGCTAGTAGGAGTACAATCTTAGTTCTGTCTCCCAAGAGCCACCCATTTGAGGCCAATAATACAGAGAAAAATCTGCTGAGCCATTAAAAACCTTAATTAAAGTTCTCCTTTGCAATGACATCCAATAAGGAATGACAGATACTGTGCCGTTATAGCGAGACTGAAGCCCACCACGCTGACCAGTACCGCCCCATAAATTCTTCGTGCTTTCCACGTGCCCGTGTCCCATTTTATATTTAGACCGCGATCTTTTCGGAGCACGGAGTATCGCTCGTCCTGTCCCCGTACGCCTACAGCACAGGAAGGTTCTCGCCCGCAGCTGGGGCTGCTGCAGACCGCAGTAAATGCAGGCGCTTGACCACGCAGCGCCACGCAACCCTCCCTCCGTCAGAGGCGTTCACCACCTAAAATGAAGCACCTTAGCCTGTGTCGCTCGCAAACAACATAAACCAAGGTGTTTTGGTGCCTGAACCACGACTGCCTGACGATAAGAGACGGGGCTTGCAGGGACAGGCGACACCTTGGATGAGAAAGCAGAACGCACCCAAACCTCGTGCCCCCGCGCCCCGGTGCTTGGCACGGCACCCGGGACACGACAGCAGCTCTCCTGCCGCCGGCCACGCCGCCGCCCAAGCGCCAGGAGAAAGTTTTCCGGACCCCTCGCCTATTTAAAAACAAGCCGTCGGAAGCGGGTGTCCGGTGCAACCCGACCAGACGCCAGCCCCGGGGCCGCTGGAGGAGGGGACGCAGCCGTCGCCCGAGCCCGGCGCCGTGCTCGCCGCAGGGCGCCCACCCCGATTTCCCAAGCGAGGATCGATCCAAGGCGGCGCCGTGCTCGCCGCAGGGCCCGATTTCCGATTTCCCAAGCGAGGATCGATCCAAGGCACTAGGACCCGGCGGGCGGGAGCCTGCGCCCTGCACAGCTGCACCACTGCAGCCGCAGCCGTGCCGGGCAGCCGCCGCTCCAGGACGCGGCAGCACGCTCCGGTTGACGTTTCTTACACCACAAATCTAATGATTTTCTTTTTAGCTAAAACCGCGACTCGCCGGATTGCAATTGATCCAGCAGCAGCACTGCCGTGAGGCGGTAACCACGGCAACGGACTGACAAGCGAAGGATGCTGCAGACCAGCCCCGGCTCCCCGGTAGCAGGAGGAGGTCAGTCGATTTTAGCTCATCTCCATCGAAACGATTCATTCATTATTTCACAGCTGAGCACCCTTCCACCACCACCGAGTCCCAGCCATCGGTGCGTCTATGTCATTTAGCCTCCGCTGGGTTTACGTGTACCAGGAAAAGCTGATTTAAATATACGCCCGCTCTGCGTTGCTGCTCAAAGACTGAGAGCAACCAAAACCGTTTATTCCTTGTGAGACTTTGATCAACTGCTGGAAAAGCAGCTGGTGCATTTCAGCATCTCTACAGCTGCCTTCGCTTTCTTTCCTGAGCAAGTATCATCCTTAACGAACTTCTCCACTCGTTACGGAATTCCTGGCCAGCAAGCCCCCCTTCCCCTCAGAGGGCAGGTAGCTGAGGGCACCCACAGCGAGGCACGCCGCCACCTCTCACCGCTCTGTGGTGGCACTAGCTGCGAGCCATTTCACAATCCGTAAAAACCAACCCAGCAGAAAGCCGGCAGAAGGGCATTCCTCATTGCGCCGAGGGGAAGATCGAGCTGAAGAGCCGCGTGCCTAGCTACGACAGCCCCTGCGTGTTTACCGTCCATCTTCTGCCCTACTGTTCTGCATCCTTTAGGTATTTTTCAAACAAACAAGACAGACTTGCAAACTCCTTAGGAACGGGTGCAACAGCCCACACGATGCAGCTTCCGCACGTCCCGCTTGGGATTTGGGGCTTTACGGTGCGTCAGTACAACACGACACCCGAAGGAAAGCCTCAGCTCCCACTGCTGTAGCTCCCGAAGCCTCCCTTCTGTTAAAAACAGACAAATAAAAATTGCTCGTTGCTCCCCCTCAGACATTTCAAAGGAACTTAAAAGCGCCTTGCGTTCAATTTAGCAGAACCCCCTCCCGAGCGCCTGAGAAGTAGGTCACAGGCAGTCTCAGCTTCACGTTCGGGAACCGAGGGAGAAAGAGAAGGAAAGAAGAAATTGGTCCAAGGTCACACGGCGAGACCTTGACAAGATCTTAAAAAAAAAAAAAACCAACCCAAAAACAAACCCAAAAATAACACCCGCATCCTATTTAAAGACCAGCCCTCCCTGGTGAAGTCCCAGGTCACACGGGGGAACCTTGACAAAATCTTAAAAAAAAAAAAAACCAACCCAAAAACAAACCCAAACATAACACCCGCATCCTATTTAAAGACCAGCCCTCCCTGGTGAAGTCAATGGCTAATGTCAGCGAGCGCCACCGGGCAGGCGCAGGGAACCTCTTGTGCCGAACACGAAGGGACCGGGAGGTTTTTGTCAACAAAAAGGGAAAAGAAAAAGCGCCGTGCCGAGTTCCGTGCTCGCCTCTGCAACGCTGCAGAATGCGACGAGTCTACGCGCAGAGAGGTTTCGCTTGACGCACGTTGCAGGAGCTTAACCCGTCTGTGAAACCAGCCGCGATCTACTGACACAGTCTATTGTCAGCAAAGCCACAAAGACAGACTTGCTTTATCGAGAAGAGGTTTAGAATCCGTAGAGGCTCGCGTCTGGCAGAGCCGCTGGGTGCAGCCGGAGGGGACGACCCCCAGACGGCTCAGGGGCAACACGTCACCACCCGAAACTTACCGCCTCGGCGCGGTAAAAGGCCCATCCGATAGCGAAAGCCCGGCGCAGGCCCTCAGCTCACACGCACCCGGCAAATGTTTTGGGAAGCTCCTCTGGGGGAGGCTGGCGGAGGGGGCAGCGGCGCTGGCGAGAAGGGAAGAGGGATTACGCTGGTGCCTCCGGGAAGGGAACACGGCAGCGC